ATCTTCTCCCATTTCACGATGGCTTGCCCAGCTAGGATATGGTTTGGCTGTGTCCCTACCCAAATGTCATCTTGAACTGTAGTTACCATAATCCCCAAGTGTCCTGGGAGGGACCTGGTGGGAGGTAATTGCCATGGGGGCAGTTACCATCAGCCATTCTCATGAGAGGAGAGAGTGCTCATGAGATCTGATGGTTTTATAAAAGGGCTTTCCCCACTTTTGCTCAGCAGTTCTCCTTCCTGCCATTATGTGAAGAGGGACATGCTTGCTTCCCCTTCTACCATGATTGTAAGTTTCCTGTGGCCTCCCCAGCCATGCAGAAGTGTGGGTCAATTAAACCTCTTTCCTTTTTAAGGTACCCAGTCTCAGGCAGTTCTTTATAGCAGCATGAGGACGGACTAATACAAGCTCCTTATCCATACTAGGCGCTCAATAAATGCATGAGGAATGAATTGGAAAAGGAAGGGAGGAAGGGAGGGAGGGAGGAAAGGCAGGACACAGCCAGGACCAAACCCCTATCTGAATTCCTGTGCCACTGCCTGCCATTCACTCCTACAAACCTCCGCATGATCATGGTGGCTCCAAGGTGATGGTGCTTACAAAGTACCTTTGAAGGTACAATTATATCCTAGTGACTAAAATTAAAACAAAAACTTCTGCATGTGCAGGAGTTACTGACTAAAGGGGAAGTCCACTCAGACAGCGCTGACAGTCGGGGCTCTTCAGGAAGGCCCAATAGCTCCCTCACCAACCACTGGCCGCTACCAAGCTCTGAAAAAGCATAATGTCATTTTGCCTCCATCAGTTCTGTGGGTGGAATGGGCTGGCTATAGCTATCCTCCACTCATAAATCAGGCAGCACCACCCCCCAGCAAGGCTAAGTGGCCTGCCCACAGACACAGGCTTGGGGACAGAGCAGACCCTGGGCTCTACCTCCTGGCACTGACTCAGGAGGCCTTTCTCCACCCACTGCTGCTTAGAATGGGGGGTTTCCGACTTCAGTCAGCCCGAGTTAAATCTCCATTCCAACCTACTTGCTCTATGACCTTGAACAGGTCCCTTAAACCTCATGAGCCCGCCCCTTAAACCTCATGAGCCCCTGTTCCCCTCATTCCTAACACCATACAGCTAAAACCCACCAGGCAGGGAGTGTACAAAGGCAAATGGGAGGCAGGTCGCACCTATGTGTGCAGCAAAGGACCCAGCATGATGCCTGGGTCACAGGAAGCTCTAGGTGAGTTCCGTTCACTGCACGCCTGCCTCACCTAACTGTCCGACCCCTTATGTGGCCACTGAGCCCCTCCTAAGGCAGGTGACAGTGAGCTTCAGCCTTTCTTATCTGCTTTGAGTTTCAATGAACACACATTATCTGCACAGTAAAGAGGTCACCAGGGGTGAAACAGACATGGGCTCTGGAGTCACACAGACCTAAGGTTTCAGAAACGGGCTCCTGAACAGAGGCAGAAAGGGCCATATTGGTAGGAAGACTGCCTTACAGCCAAGAGGCAGCCGCAGGCAGGGGCTCCAGCTGAAGCCTGGGCCTGCCCCACCCCCAGGGACTACCTGTGGCTGTTGCAAGCAGGACTGTGAGGACCACTGAGTGGGGGCATAGGGGTCAGGAGCTCTGCCAGGCCCAGGAAGCAGACCAGCTGGGGAATCTAACCAAGCAAGGCCAGTGGAGCACTGAGTGTGGAGGAAGGGGGCTGGAATTCCCAAGGGAATTGCAGACAGCCACCCCTGCTGCTGGCAGGCAGAGCTAGAGGGGCACACTGGGTGTCAGAGTTCCTGGGTCCAGCATCCACATCTGTGAAGGGGAGAAAGGCAGTGGTGGTCTGGAGTCAGGTGACCCAAACTGAGACTGATCCAGGCTTTGCCCTTCAGTATCTCTGTATAACACTGGAGAAGTGTGATGCTCCCAGCCCTAGCTCCTCATCTGTAAAGTGAGAGAACAGAAGGGCCTTTCTCACAGTGTGGTTGTGAGAAAGCATGACAGAATACAAAAGAAACCTCCAGCGCAGTGCCCGGCACAAAGAAGTCATCACAAAATTGTAGCTGCAGAATTTTAATCACACTATCAATAATGATCATGAGTTAAGGGGCTCACAATAGTAACTGGCACTGGAGCCCATCAGTGTCTTCGAGAGAAACAGGATAATCATTCCCTCCTACCAGTGTTGAAATCGTGTGTGTGTGTGTGTGTGTGTGTGTGTGTGTGTGTGTGTGTGTGTACATGGTAGAAAGACAGACAGACTTTGCCTCAGTTTGGGTCACCTGACTCCAGGCCACCACTGCCTTTCTCCCCTTCATAAATGTGGATGCTGGACAGACACAACATGCTTTCTAGAATACTGGACTAGCTAGTGATAACTGTACACAGCACCCTTGACATAGTAACTCCATCTTAGAGAAAGACTCCATCGTACATTTTAAAAGGTACCTTGCCAGCAAGACCAGATGTTTTGCCTAATCAGTGAAAACTGCTTCCGACCAGACAAGGACATGATCAAGCACACTCCTCCACTCAGTCCTCACCAGAGGACTCTGTGGCCATAAGAGCAGGACTTCAACAGCTAGAAACGGCTGCCCCCACAGACCCTGTCTCACTGTCGCCTGTGATCAGCACCCGGCATCCACGGCCCAACGCTCTGCCCACATCAGACTTCCCTGTGAGTCCAATGGACTGCCCAGACCAGGCCAGGACTTTCTTTTTCTTTTCCATGTTGCTCTCCCTGGACTGGCTCATTAATCCCTTTTCCTATCCCTTTTCTTTCAGTGTTAAATGTTGCTTCATTTACTGTGAAATGTTTAATCTATAATATTTATATATTGATTAAGTATACTATTATATATGGTTTGCAATACTGACTGACATATGGAGTGGTGTGAGCCTGTGTGTCCGTGGCTCTGACTCCTGAGTGAATGCAAAGTACTAAGGGGAAGTTCGTCCTTGGGAACTCAATGGAGCTTCCAGCTTTGGTGATTTAAACCACATCAATAAAGGTCTGACGTTGTGGAAAGACACAAATGTGCAGGGATCTGGTTATCACTGACCTGCACCGCTCATGATAACTAAACAGGAAGGTAACCGACCATTGTGAGGTTGTGAGGGAGGAGAGAAGGGAACGGAATGATCATCATCGGGTGAAATGACTGGGGTTTTCCTTCACACAACAGACCTTCAAAGAAATCTACTGACTCTAATTGAGGCAAAGGACAAAAGTGAGGCCTGCAAATGACATCTACACACCCAGGTGAGATTTCTGCCCCCAAGGCTTTAGAATGTTCTTTTTCACAGCCACCTACTACACAACTGATTAGAATTCTGGCCCTTGGCGAATGAGGACCTGGAAATGGCAGCAGGATTATTTTGTCACGCCATATCTGCTCTGGGTCCCAAGTGCGTCAGCAGTGAGACGAGACAGAAGGCTGATGAGTCATACAAGTGACAGGCTCCCCCCAGCGTCTAGCATGTCACCCAGGTCTCCAGAGAGTGCCTCATGTGGCATGCATGGAAAGGCATGTTACTCCACTCAAGCAGGAGCTGGCAACTGTTTTCTTTTCATTTTTTTTTTTTTTTTCTTTTTTCAGAGATAGGGTTTCACCACATTGGGCAGGATGGTCTCGATCCCCTGACCTCGTGATCCACCGACCTCAGCCTCCTAAAGTGCTGGGATTAGAGGCGTGAGCCACCGTGCCCAGCCAACCCTTTTCTCTAAAGGGCCACCTGTTAACTATTTTAGATGCAGATCATCCAGTCTTTGTTGCAACCACTCAACTCTGCCATTATAATGCAGTGCAGCCATAGACAGTATGTAAATGAATAGGCATGGCTGTGTTTCAATAAAACTTTATTTACAAAAACAGGTTGTGGGCCAGATTTGGTCCCCAGAGAGCAGTTTGCCAACCCATGTTAAAGAATCACTGGAATCACTACTGAACTTTCCTCTTCAGTGTCTTTTAATTTAGAATTTTTTGGTAAAGTCTTTATAGGCCCAGTGGGTCACTCTGTATCATCACGAATTTTCCCTGAAATGACTACCACGAGCCTGTTGTGTTGCAAGACCTATGTTTTTACAAACATAAAATCATGATGTTTTGAAATTGGCTGAGAAGTGGTTTGAATTACAGGTCCCAAGTTAACTGGAAAATCCTAACACTCCTCCCCACCATACCAACCAAGCCTTGTGGAATTTAGTTAATCAAAAGAAAAAAATACTGAAAACAAGAACAAGTTGAAATCAAAAGAGGCAAAACCGAGCACACACATCTCCCCAATTGACGGGGGTTTATCTATTGCCGACAGAGTGTGTGCCTTCTGTCCTCCCAGTCAGTCCCTGGTGAGGAGACCTCATGTCATTTTGGATTAACGTCTGCATCTCACACATGGGAGCTTGGTAATGATTTCTCCTCATTATATTAAGGAATAAAAAGCCTTTGAGAAACAGTTGCTGATGAACTGCGACGCTCACTTATCTTCCTTTGTCATATGAGGAAGCTAGGAAATAACTTCTATATTTTGATTCTTCCTCTCCAGGGAATGGCTTTTGGTGTTGCAATGATTCATTTAGTGGAAAAAATAAATTTCTAAGGCCGGGCGCAGTGGCTCACGCCTATAATCCCAGCACTTTGAGAGGCCGAGGGAGGTGGATCACTTGAGGTCAGGAGTTCAAGACCAGCCTGGTCAACACGACAAAACCCTCTCTCTACTGAAAATACAAAAAATTAGCCAGGGGTGGTAGTGCGTACCTATAATCCCAGCTACTCAGGAGGCTGAGGCAGGAGAATCGCTTGAACCTGGGAGGCAGAGGCTGCAGTGAGCCAAGATTGTACCACTGCACTCCAGCGTTGAAGACAGAGCAAGACCCTGTCTCAAATAAAATAAAATAAATAAATAAATTTCTAAAGGAGATGGACAGTGAAAGCCTGAGAGCCAGTGGCTCCTGCAATCCCAATTCCGTCCAACTAAGGAATTCTCGTCGCATTCTAGCACATTCTCTGACCTGGAAAAGGCAAGGCAGACAGATCCAATCCTAACACTGGACCCCTCCATCCTTGTCCCAGGGAGCCAGGTCTCATGGTCCTTGCTGGAGCCTCATAGAGCCAGATTGCTTGAAGAGACCAAGGAAAGACCCTCATGAGCGTCGTGATCATAAGCAAACACTATCACGAGTGTCTAAAAAGCCAAGCTGAAGCTTCATCTGCCTGTTACAACTGTGGTGCCCCCTTCATGCTTCTTTTTTTTTTTGCAAGAATCTGATGATTCATTATTCAGAGAGATGGTGACATATGCAATGAAAGAATGGATGAAGAAAGTTAGAAAATGTGTTATTAAGTAAATTTACAGCAACATTGTTTGGTCAGCAAAGAATTTCCAAGATAGAAATGGCCATGACATCTGGATGGAAGGGCCATCCTAACCTGACATATTATTCTTGCAACCTCTGACATTTATGTTGCCATCACTTAAGGCTCCTTTTAGAGGGCCTCTTTATCAAGAGTTCAGATTGCACAGAGTAAACCTGAGTCAACTGGAGACTGTGATGGGTGACAGTGTGCGGTCAGGGTGTGGACAATAGATGCCTAGGAAAATCAGCAAGAGGGGAAAAGGAGATTTATGAGTCATGCTTGGGGCTGAGTCAGTGAAAGCCTTTGTGGGAAACCGCTGTTCAGCTGCCACAGACAAACCGAAATGAATCCACAAAATACTGCTCCAGCCGGCATCTCCCTCCATGTGCTGACTATCCAAGTGCTCCTTCAGGGCCAGAAATGCTCGTCTTCACTGGGCTCAAGGTTGCAAAGAGAGCAAAAGTAGATGCCCTTGAAACAAGAAATCAAATTCGTTTTGGACACCTAGACTTTGGAGTCTTGGGTTTAATATCAGAGTTTTAAATAACAGTTAATCAAAACGTAGGAGGTTTCATGTGAATTGCTAACCATAGGAGGCAGCAGAATTGCTTTGGGAACTGGCCAGATCTAGGTTGGGATGTCCTCAGTGCTCTTGCCTTCACTTGTGTGGTGGCCTTGGAGCCTGGGCATGATGGCCTCATCTGTAAGCTGAAGTGGATAGACCCACTTTTCACAGTCGATAGGAGAATCTATTAGGAAATCTCATCTGGTTAACTGCCTCCCCTTCCACAGCACATTGGTCAGAAACAGTGACTTTAGAATGAGAACAGGTGGGACCTTTAGAGCTGCAGGTCACGTGGTCACGCATGTCTGATGCCGAGACACCTTACTGGTAGGAAGCACCCTCATGTTGCACCCTCTTCCTTCTCCTGTCACCCTCACTTCTTTTACTTACAGTTTAAGCAGACGGTGCATTGCCGGCCCTCCCTGTGCAGCCAGGGACCTGCCCACCACCCCTGCTGACACAGCTGGGGCCAAGTCAAGCTCATGGGCTGCAGGGAGCCCCGCAGGGAGCAGCCTGGACAGCACCAGCAGTGGGGAGCTCTCTTCCTTCACACCTGGGACTCTGCCACGGTGTATTAGATTTCACAAAGTCATTGCTAAAGGTATCTGCGATGTTACACCCTCCTCCATTCCTTCCACTGTCTCTGTATCATGCAAATCAGTTGAGCCTGGAAGAGGCATGTGGGCAGAAGGAAAGGCTTGTTCAAAGGTCCTGGGGCATGAGAAAATGGGGCATTTGGAGCCCCTCAAGTGGGCTTACATCTGTTACTCTGCCTCTGAATAATGCTCAAGAAACTGCAAGAGAAATGAGAAGAACATATTTTTATTTTTTAAAAGAGACTGAGTTCTCTCCTTTGGCAAATGTCTAATGAAGTGGCCCCAGTAAAGGCTCAATCCACCCACTGGCCCAACTCCTCCTCCAAGTGGCTAGCTTCTCATTGCATTTGGGCCTGATGTCCTGAGGATACAGGCACACCTGTGGTACTGCCCAGAGCATCTGCAACTCTCCCTGCCCTGAGATTCCCTGCAGGTTAGGGTCCCTGGGAAGGTCTGCACCATTTTGTGTGGAGGTGCACTCGGGTAGAAACTACCAAGGAGATCAACTTTGCCACCCCTTCCCTGCATCTAACTGTCACTATAGTCAGAGATGATGAGGGGTCTTGGCTGGGCCCTGAGGCCAGCTGATTGCTTGCCCTACCTCTGAGCCTGGCCTGCTCCCTGGATGTAGCCGGCCCATTATGGGGGTGCAACATGCCTTGCAGAGGCATTATACCAGGGCTGGGGCCTCTCTAACAACCCTCAGAGACATGAGCTTGTTAGCTGTCATCCCAGTGTGTCATGCTAAGACCTGGCAAAGCTACACACCTCACACAGTATGCACACAGAGCAGGAGGGTCCCCATCTCACTCCCAATGAACCAGGAACTCACCACTGCATGCTGCCAGGAGGAGGGTGTGCAGATGAGGAAAACCTTGATCCTTCTAGTTACTCGACATAGCCCTCTACCCCTGAACACGCCCACTCTAGGCTCTCAACCTCAGAGGACATCTCCACGGCACCTACACCAATCTACACAATGGTGCATTAATACAGAAAATGACATTAATTCATCATTTTTAAAAAGTCGATTAAAAAGCAAAAAGCATTGAGATGTATCTGCTAAGTCACCAAACTGATAGGCTGCTGTTTCTCTTTTTAAAATCTGAGTTGTCTGAAAACTCTGTTTGGTTGAGTGTGATGCAGGCCCAGCTGGGAATTTGGGATCCATTGGTGACTGCTGCCCGGTGAGGCCTTTCTCTCACCATCTTGATACAACTAGACCCTAATCCATACAGTGAACCAATCCTGGACATGCCTCCAAAACCCCAACCAGCCCAGCTCCAGGATATCTAGTCTGGTAAAAACTTGTGCATGGATCAAATACACAGGAACAAAACTAAAGTCAGGAAGACCAACCAGTAGACAGAGAAGCTGGGATGTGGGGATCAGAGGTCAGCAGCGAAAACAACTGGTCAGGACAACTGGTCTCCTCAAATGTCACACGGCGAAGGGCATGTCTTTGCCTGTGCTAGAAAAGCCACTAGATACAGAGTGAACCTCAACAAACAGAGAGCCCCGTGGCAAACCCTTCGCCAAGAGCTTACAGCTCTCCCTAGTGAGGGGCTTAGGCAATGTAGGGCTGAATATTTCCATTTTCCCTCTTCAAACAGCAAGACTCAGAGGCCCATACAGGTATTCAATAGATGTCTGCTGGGTGTCTAAAGAAGAGCCATTGCTTTCATTGAGTGATCAAAGTTACCATCACTGGTTAATGGGACCTACAGAAATGACCGACTTTAAATGCCATCTAAAGGTCATCTGGGTTTTGCCTCAGCAGGACTAGAAATCTCCAGTTTCTCAATGTTTATTCAGATATTCACATTGTACATTAAAGATATCTTAGATCTCTCTCCTTACATCTGTCACTCTGCCTCTGGATAATGCGGAAGAAACTGCAAGAGAAATGAGATGTACATATTTTTCTTTTTAAAAACACACTGAGTTCTCTTCTTTTGCAAATGTCTAATGAAGTGGCCCCAGTAAAGGCAAAATTCACCCACTGGCCCGACTCCACCTCCAAGGCTCTGGGTGGTGGCTTCAGGGTGGTAAGGAGAGTCCAAGACACATCCCCTTGAGTCAGAAGTCATGGCATCAGAATTAGGAGGCACAGGTCCAGGACACAAGGCATGTTGCTACACGCAAAATTCATAAGCTGGAGAAATAAGCTACACATGAAGCTCTGGCTGGTGGTTTTCCTGTGCATTAGCTTATTTAATCATGACAGTCTGGGTCTGATCTTAACGATTTCACCCTGAACAACTCTAACAGATACTATCCTATTCCCACAAGCAGCAATATAACAATATTTCAGCAAAGAATAAAACCCATTAAATATGGGAGGGGGTAATATGTGTATCTACTAGTACTTCCCAAGGTTCCAAGTCATAGCATTCTAACCCTCAGATGATGAGCTGCCAGTCTGTGACTTTAGCCCCATCCTCAATCACATCGTCCTCCTCTCCAACACCTTCCACTCTACCAGCGCATCTTCCTCGGCCCCCACGGCCCATCCCCATCCTCTTCTGTGTCAGCTTCACCTTGGCTTTAGCTGTTCACAACCCTCCCCCACTGGATGGTAAACCCCTCAAGCCCAGGCATGGGTCCCACCCTCCTGGCATCTCTGCAAGTGGCTGATGTTCTTAGGGCTTAGTATAGAGTAGGAAGAGCTTCCATTTAGGAATCAGTGTTTAACGTCTAGAAAGAAGCCTGGCATTGGTTCTCGCAACAATTCATCCTAAGGCAGGATGATTCTTCAGGGGAGGGGCTGAATATGGGTTGCAGGACGCTCCTGTGCTTGGACCTGGGCTCAAGCCATCCCGGTGTTGGGCCCTAACTCCGCAGACTAATGGCAAAAAGGGCAAAGAGATTTAACTACACACTCAGAAGACTGCCATCTGTACTATTCGGAAAGCAACTTGCTCTGCCCAGCCCCTCTGGACAAGGCCAAACAGGCTTAGTCTGCTGTGGGCAAACAAGAAAAGTAGGTCAGCTCGACAGCCCAGTTCTTCCATGGTGATGAACTAATGATGCGAACGCAGGGCCCGTCCGCGGAGAGGGGCGGGACAGCACCAGCCCAGGGCCTTGGCTGATCTCAGACCCAGCCTGTGTGGCTCATGCCAGCCTCTGGATGGCAGACAGGGGACCTGGGTAAGAGCAAAACCCAGAGAACACTTGGGAAGATGGCTTAAAAAAAACCCTGCAGGAAAACAACAGTGTAAATTGACACCCTGCCATTTCCCTGTTATTAAAGACATATCAATTCATGTCCGTATGGTGCTGTGACACTTGCACGGGCTGCTGGGCCTGCACAGGTGCGTTATGGTGATAATTTGCAGGAACACTGCTGAGAAACTGCGGTGCTACCTCCCAGCTCGCCTGCATGACGTCCTCACCCATCACCCTCCCTCAGCCACTGGCAATAACTAGAGGCTCACTGGGGCCGAGGACAGGCTTGAGTCAGGGGTTCAGTGCTGCCGGGACCGGTGGGCACAAGGCCCCATGTTATGGAGGAGGCCACTGCTCTGTTCCCATGTCCAGTCTGGGCTGCAGCTGTCCAGACAGAAAGGCTTCCCTTTCTGGCTTCTCTGGCTCAGAAGTTGGACAAAATACAGAACACTATGAAGGAATTCCCCTGAGTCCCCGGTGAGCTACTTATAGGAGCCAGTGTCTGGATTGGGTTGTCTCAGGAGGGCCCAGCACAAACATGGAGGCTAATGCCGGGGTCCTCAGGTGGCCAGGTCCTGCTCCCTGGGCTCATAAGAGGACAGGACCGTTTGTTCACCCCCCAGATAGCTTAGGAGCAACTGAGAGTTAGTCTAGGGGTCCCAGAGAAGTTTCTCAATGGAGCAGTAGCCTTGCGGCTCAGGCCCAGGAGGAAGCGAAGGAATCAGTTCAAATGCAGTTATGCCTAATATTTAGAGCCCCTTCTTCCAAAATGCTGGATATTTTTCCTCTTTCTGTCATTTTTATAACAAATGTATTAGAAGGTTTTGTCAATCAACATTTTAGAAATATTCAAATCCAAAAACTCATGACTGGGAATGTTTACTCTACTTCTTTTAGGAAATGACCTTGTCTCAAAGTTTTCTCTGGCATTTTTAAGAACTGAAGGACAGAACCAACAATCAATCAATCTTCCTTCCTTCCTTCCTTCCTTCCTCCCTCCCTCCCTCCCTTCTGTCCTTTGGCCTTTGTTCATGAATTCATTTAGTGAATATTAAAGGAGATGGGAAAATCTACCATTCATGAAGAAAGGTGAGGACTCTGTCACACAGTGGGAATAGTCCTGGGAGATCTGGGCTTCTAATTGTGACTGCTGCTTAACTAGCTTAGGCAAGATCCTATCCCTCTCTCTGCCTCAGTTTCTCCCCTTCACAGGCCATCTGTGTAACCTAAGAACACAATGCCTTAAGGCAACTGAAATGTGGGACAGCATAAAAGCTCAATGAATTGTTAGCACAGGTGGTGGCTGTTATTCTCACAATCCAAAAACAACTCCAAAGGCATAGTTAAATGCTTCTACATTTAAATAACAGATCCTAACCATGGACATCAATTATCTTCATATTTAAATTCCCAAGATATTAACCAGCTACCAGGGAGCCTGCAGTTAGTCCTTTTATGTGTGGACCTCGTGATCCAAAAGGTTGCCAAATAGGAGACCTTGGCTTGTATAATAGTATTTTCCTGAAGAGCTGGCAACAAACAAACTTGGGTAAACTGAATCATACTTTAAATGTGCAAGTGGCTCAGGGCCCACTAATTGGAGGAGTGTGGAATCCCACCCACCCTCACTAACAAGCCTTCTGCAATGCAAAACTCCACACTGCCAATTAGTGTGCTTAACGAAGTATCATACACCTGGTTTCCAGGCGACCACAACTCACTGCAATTTTGAAATTCTGGACAAAATAGGGAGAAGTTTGGATTTTTAAATTTGAAATAAATGATTTTACACATCTAGCCAACTTTAACAAAGTTGGAAGTGAAATGCTGTTAAAATAAATTGGCTAGCCAGGCACGGTGGCTCGCGCCTGTAATCCCAGCACTTTGGGAGGGCAAGGCAGGCGGATCACCTGGGGTCGGGAGTTCAAGACTAGTCTGCCCAACATGGTGAAACCCTGTCTCTACTGAAAATACAAAAATTAGCCAGGTGTGGTGGCATGTGCCTATAATCCCAGCTACTCAGGAGGCTGAGGCAGGAGAATCACTTGAACCTAGAAGGCAGAGTTTGCATTGAGCCGAGATCATGCCATTGCATGGCAGCCCAGGCAACAGAGCAAGACTCCATCTCAAAAATAAATAAATAAATAAGCAAGCAAGCAAGCTATACATTAGTCCTACCTACTATTCAAAGCATTTATTTAAAGCATTTCTTATAATGCAACAGCATTATCTCAAAGAACGTTCGGTTTACATAATTTACTTAAGAAATTCAGTATATTTAATAGTGTTATATTCCTATCTTCACCTAAATAAAGCATGAAGTTTTCAATTCCCAGAGTATGCTAAATTATGAAGTCCATTTAAAAACTATCGGATTCTTTAGAACAGAACTAAACAATCATTCCAAGGCCACATATACATAGTACTCGTGCATGTTATAAACTTAAACAGAAATTTCATTTTTGCAACCTCTTTGGAAGAAAAAGAAACCAACAAAGAAATAAATAAAACAAAAGTATACATCTGGTTTAAATGAAAACATTAAAAAATTTTTTGTTTTCTGGAGAAGCAATACATATTCATTGTAATTAATTCGCTCTTTCATTAAGAACATAAAGGATCTTAGGCCATTATCATTAGGGAGAGCCAAGTTGTCTCTTTAAATATTAAAAACATTATTTAAACAAAACGGCAGAAGTACTAAATCCCCCTAACTCTCCTAGAAATATTAATATTTTTACTTTCTTCACCTATACTCTCACCTCGTCCTTCACATGGTTTAAACTGTGTATTCTGCCTTGCTCTGGAGAAACTATGTTCATGTCTATGTAAGAAGGACCCCAGGCTGACTCTCTCTGAAGGATGCTCTATCTCTGGCCCCAAGCTTGGGAACATTCTGAGGTCATGAAAACTCATTTTAACAATAACACCACCACTATCTTTCTCAGCCTTGATTGCAAGGAGTAAGGTCTTAATGTGTGTGCAAGCATGTGTGTGTCACATGGCATCACAGCAGGATGTAAACTATGGTAAGACCAAGTCTCCAAGGGGCAGGAAGAATTGGTCCATATCAGAGATGGTGGGGCTAGTGAGCTGTTCAAGGCATACGCATTCCTCTATCTACTGTGTCTTATCTTGGCTATAGAAAAACAAGTGCAATATATTTTTTTAATCTCCCGAAGGTACTGTTTGCTTTCTGCTAAGCTCTCAGTGCCCCTGAGACCTCTTGTATGGCCAAAGGGAGGAGATGAGGGTGTGGCTTGCACTTAGGCAAAGAGAAAGGGGTTGAATTCAAGAACGGCCTCATAGAAACTTAAAATATTGACAAAGATAGGGGTTTCACACAAAAGCAAGCAGGTTGCAAAATGCCCCACGGATTGCAGCTACAGTTCTGAGTCTGGAAGACCCCACAATCCAGAATCAGGGTCAAGTTCTCTTGAACACTTGCCCCCACTTTTGGAGGACATTTAAGGGACAGGACATGAAGAGAGGAGTCTGGCTGTGCTTCCCACAGAAGCAAGAGCTGCTCCTCTCCTCTTTCTTTCCACAAACTCACAGGACGCTTCAAGGCCCTCTCTGGGGGTGAAACAGAAACATTTCTCTGTGTGAGCTGGGGCCTAGCCAACAGGAAGGTGTAATGAGAAGATGGGAGCTGCAGTGCTGGATCCATCACTAACCAGGTAGGTGGCCTCGGGAGAGGCACCAAACTTTTTTGGACTGTGGTTTCTTCATTAGGTGGAATAAGAAGTAACTTTTGTAAACTATGAAACCTCATATAAATGGGAGGTTTTATAACCACTTGAAGATGGCTGTTTAGCTCATGTGCTATTCTGGGCAAGAATGACCTGCACAGGTGGCTGTACAGGTAAGCATGGATAGGGGAGGGTGCTAAGAACCCATGGAGACTGGGAGTGCTGGTTTCGACAGAGCATTCTCCATCTGTGACTGTGCCATGGTGACAAATCAGAGCCATTCATGCTGGTCCTCTTGGCTGCAAGCAGTGGGTACATAAATCCGCAGCATCGCACAGCGTGTGGCTACCTGTAGCTTGGGTTTATGTTGCTACCGTGTGTGGCTCTGGCACACCGCTCTGCAAATGAGTCAGCAGGTAGCAAACCTCATTCCCACCCTCTGGTCAGGTGCTGATGTTACGAATGACGGGGCTGTGAACTAGCCCTGACCCAGCAACCCTGCTTGCACCATCTCCGACCCAGTTTACCAATAGCCTGGCATAAACCCAGTCACTGATGACAACATCTGGCCTTGGTGGATCTGAGCCAGGCATTTGTAGTTTGGACTGGGGTCAGCTCAAAGATAATCATCCTTTTATTTGGAATTTAACATGAAGGAAGTAAAACAGCTATGCTTGTGGGTCATCTGCTCCTGTGGTTTCTGGACGCAAATTCTTCCTCTAGCTGTGTAGATTCCAATCCATCGTAGACACGGTGTGGAGCATGGGACACAAGTGATTTCAAGTGATTGCCTGCTGGTTAGGTCGGAGTCCTTTTCTTACAGATGAAAGCAATTTGTCATACCCAAGACTAACTGACTCTGTGCCAGCTTCTCCTCTAAAAAGAAATACAGGTAAAAGGAGTGGGCCCCTCCCCTAGCCCAGCCGAGGAGGAACAGGTCTCAGAAAAAGTCATCAAACACTTTCCAGACTTCCACAGAGAAGTGCATGGTGTGTGTGTGTGTGTGTGTGTGTGTGTGTGTGTGTGTGTGTGAGAGAGAGAGAGAGAGAGAGAGAGAGAGAGAGAGAGAGAGAGGCTGAGAGACTGACTTCACCCAGGCAAATCAGAGGTCACTGACCACACCTCTCTGGAGCACAAGGCCACCTGGGCTGCCTCGCTTTGTGATGTACAGCGGCTCTCTCCTGCCAACAGGAAATCAGTCTTTATTAAGTGTTTGCGGGACCCCACCATTTTTTTTAAAGTCAAAGAAAGAGATGGTGGAGATTACACAAATCCACACGTGGCAAATGACACAGAATTCCACATGCCTCTGTGGCAGTGCTGCCCTCCTGGGGGTGATATTGTGCTATAGGGATGTGAGACGTTTCCGCTGGGGGAAACCAGGTGGTGGGGAAACCAGGTGGTGGGTACACCGAAATTGAACCTCTTGGTGACTTCCTTTGAATCTGTAATTATTTCAAAACAAAAAATGAAAAAAGAAAGGGAGCACAATGACAAGCTAAGCTATGCAGTGAGGATTCCCATGGCATCAGGCTCCAAGCTGAGGTATGGGGTCTTCCCAGCCCCAGCAGGTTCAGCGCATTCAATATTTCCTCAGCCTGGACTCCGGGCAGTGCACTGCGGTCGCATGAGGGAGGTGATGGGTGTCACAGAGAGCTGAAGCAGGTCCTGGGCCTGAGGGAGAAGGCCCTGAACAGGACACATGGGAGACTAGCACTGTCTGTGGCTGTGGAGTGAGTGAAGTCCTCTGTGCCTGCATTTCAACCCCTGTCCAACAGCTGAACAAACCGGTGATGGTTCAGAAGATAAAATGAGGAAACGCAGCTCGAAGTGTCTTGCGAATAAAGATCTACAGCAGCACTTACTTTTTTTTCTTTTTTTGAGATGAAGCCTCACTCTGTGGCCCAGGCTGGAGTGCAATGGTGTGATCTCGGCTCACTGCAACCTATGCTTCCTGGGTTCACACAATTCTCCTGCCTTAGCCTTTTGAGTAGCTGGGATTACAGGCATCCACCACCATGCCTGATTTTTATATTTTTACTAGAGACGGGGTTTTGCCATGTTGGCCTGGCTGGTCTCAAACTCCTGGCCTCAAATAATCTGCTGGCCTTGGCCTCCCAAAGTGTTGGGATTACAGGCGTGAGTCCCCAAGCCCCCAGCCCAGCAGCACTTCTGAAACTCAGATGGGCACACAGGTCCCCTGGGATCTTACTAAAGTGTGGATTCTGACCGGGCAGGTGTGGGGAGGGGGAGATGCTGCGTTCCTAGCCAGCTTCCAGGTGAGGCGGATGCTGTACGTACACCACTCATGCTGAGTGGTGATGATCCTAAGCTCATAGGCACCACAGTCATTAAAACAGAAATCACACAAAAGATCATCTGCTTCCACCTAAAGCTGAGCCACCAGGGGCCTCAGTTCAGATGCCCAGTCCACACCTTAGGCCAATGGCATCAGCATCCCTGGGGTGGGGCCCAAGCGTGGCATCCTTGTGCCACCAAGAGAACCCCACATGTCCCCAGGGTGAAAACTGCTGCTCTCGGGCTTGAGTGCAGCACCCGGCAGGTGTTCTAGTCTCCTGCACTTGCTGCCTTCTCGGGCGGCCTCTTCAATTTCCTGCCAGTTGTACTCATTTGTCAGTTTTTCCTGTTGAGCCAAAATACCACTCTCCCTCCTCCCTGCTGCACTCCTGGAGCTTCTACTCATTTCCTCTTGCCATATGTCTGGGGGCCACAAAGAATGACAGCCCTCAGACTATTTTTTAAATTGAGGTAAAATTCACATAACAAACATAGAATTAACCATTTAAAAATGTACAAGTCAGTGGCATTCACTGCATTCACAATGTTGTGCAACTCACCTCCCTTCTCTGGGTTCAAAGCCTTCTCATTTCCCCAGAGAAAAAGTCCATATCCACGGAGCCATGCTTGCACTCACACCTCCCCCAGTTCCCTGTCTCGATGGATTTTCTTTTTCTGGATATCCACGGAGAAGGCATATATGACCTTTTGCTCCGGCTTCTTTCATTTAGCGTAATACTTTTGAGGTCCATCCACATTGGGGCATGTTTCAGAATTCTCTTCCTCTTTAAGACTGAATAATATTCCTACATATATACATATGGTACCACTTTTTCTTCATTCATCCACTGATAGGTGCTTGGGCTGCTTCCATATTTTGGCTATTATGAATAACGCTAC